CAATGAAGTAATGCACTAAACGTATCTAACACAGTGTCCGCTGCATAGGAAATACTAGCTAGTGTTGGCCTACTTGAAAATATAGAGGAGTCATCAGAGGTGACGTGATGCCAATAACAGAGTTCCGATTTTTGCTATTCTTTCTATTCAGAGTCCCCAATTTTGTGGGCGAGTGCGTTGAACTAAGTGGCCTCTGTCCACCTCTAATATTTTATCAGCTCTGGAATCCACTGACAAATGCACTTTGCTAGGTGCCTTAAATAGATTATCTTGATTAATCATCCCAACCTGGGAGGACTATTGGTAGCTAACATATTTAGCTGGGTACTCCTCAGACACGTATGTGAAGCCATCTCATACTCATCATAATCCTGTGAGGCCAATACTCATATTATCTCCATTTTACAGTGGAAGAAACTGAAGCACAGAAAGACTGGCTCAGGTTCCCACAATGGGAAAGTGGCAGATCTGGGCTTTCAAACCCAGACTCTAGAGTCTGTGATCTTAACCTCTAGATGCACTGCCTCTCAAGAGGTAGGCATTTTTATCTCCAGTTTATGAATAAGAAAATGTAGCCCAAGGTCACACATAGAGTAAGTGAGAGAAATGCAGATAAGAATCCAGGCTTGTCTGACACACATATCTGTGCTTCTCCTCACCATGCCACAGGCACGTGTCCCAGGAGTAGAAATAGGAGCGAGCACTCAGGATGAGGTTCACAGAAGAAGAGGTCTATGGGAAAGCTTCAGGCACTTTGATCTAACAAGATGGAGCTCTAGACATGAGATGCCTTTGTGTCATCATCTACCCCCGCCACAATGAGTGACTCCACACCCTTGGGACAACAGCAGCAGCTGCATCCCTCAGAGTCTCAGAGTCAAGAGGGAATTTCCTGAGGATGCAGACATAAAGAATTAGAGATGTTTCCTAACACTCGAATCTGCCCTGTTCATTGCTGGTTTTCTCTGCCTTGGTTCTGGCTCTATGAAGATGAATGTTCTAGCTCTGGTCTCCTTCAAATCACCTGTGTTGCTTAATGATCTAAGGAACAATAGCTGCTCATGGCCACTGTATCCAAATTTGGGGTGCACAAAACACTGTCATCACCAGTTCTTTTAATCGATGAAAAATCAAAGATCACTAATTAAATTTATATCTATAAATTATGTATGTGGTGCTTTGGCAAATGCTATACAGATCACACTGAACGGGACGTTTTCAAGGAGCTTATAAAACATGTCATCTTTGTAAATGAGCCCAAGTTACAGGCATTTTCTGCAAACACAAAGTAGTATTTCACAACACAAGACAGATGTGAGGATAAAGAGTTTAAAATTCTTATACAGGTATTTTAATAATAGAAGAGCCCTATACTACTGTCCCCAAAATGTCCTAAAACACCACCCACCAGACAATGTCCCCAGTCAGTTCCAAACAAATTGAGAAAACCTTTCAGCCTGGCATTCCAGGACTCATCTGTGAGACCCAAGTCTTCCTATTCACCGTATACCCTCTGTGTTCCCCACACACCACTCTTAGAAACAAGACAAACCACTTGCTGTTTCAAGAGTACAACCTTCATTTTCTGTTACCAAGTGGCTCTCCGTGTAGCTGCTTCTGTGGTGTCCTGACTCAAACTCCATTCCAGCCTCTTCTTCAAGTCACCATTTGACTTGCCACCATTTTCTACGTGAAGCCTTTCCTCACCCCTCCAAATAAAAACGAGCTTGTCCTCTTCTGAACCACCAGAGGTCTTTGTGGTGTGTGTGTGTGTGTGTGTGTGTGTGTGTGTGTGTGTGTGTGTACACTTCTTCTATTATGGTGATTTATATTATGACCTTGGCATACTTACCTAATTTCCCAAATTAGGCAGTAAAAGCCTCAGGAATTTGATTTCTGAAGTTTCCTTTATAACCTCTACTCTGTCTGATGTCGTGCTTGCAACAGGAATTCAATAAACATTTACTGAATTATCATTTCATTAATAATGCTAATGATTTACTGATCTCTTATCTCTTATAAAGTATCCACTATGGGCCAAGTATGACATTTATGTATTATATCTAATTGTACAAAATCCTGTGACTTAGGAAATTGAGGCTTAACAAGCTTAAATAAGTTGTTCAAGGTTACACAGCAAGTAGAGTTCCCAACTGTTAACATAGCAGCAGGATGTACTTTGGATCTGAATCCAAATTTGTTAGATTCCAAACCTGGGCTCCAAATCAACACTACATAAAAGTGATAAAACTGAAAAGATATATTGCTTTTGATTTCTAGATAAATGAATTTAGCAAGTACGAAACAAAACCACAGCTTGTGGTAGTAAGGAAAGCTAGTTTTCAAATTAATCTAAAGACTTAAAAATGACTTTTGAAGGTTAAAAAATATACAATATGAAGAACCTTTATCACTACAGTCCAAGAAGTGTAAGAGATGGGGAAAGAGACTGAGGCGTTTATTTAGAAGAATAACTTATTAGTAAACTGCATTTGTATGTTATAATAGAAAAGACTTCCACTTGGGAATTTGACAAAGTAGGGTTAAAATTCTGAGTATAACATTTTTAGCCCTAGACCTTGGGCAGGTTACTTTATCTTTGTAAGCCTCAGTTTTTGCAAATATTAGGTGACAATAATAACAATTGCTTCCATAGATAATGCAAATGGTAGACAGGTATAAGGTATATAATTCAATAAATGATGGGCACGACTAGTATTATTACTAATAATCTTATTTTCATGTCAAGTGACTGTTCTAAGCCAGTGTTCTTCAGAACACTGGTAATGGCAGAGAGGCCATTACCATTCCCAACCTCTCCCATTGTGAGAGCGTACTATTTGGAAAAGCAGAAGGGGAAAAAAGGGCCAGCAGCACCGCTAGCCTTTAAGATCCAACACTTCCTTCTCTTCAGATGGACCCCCCAAATTCTTTGCCTTGCAACTAAAGAACTGAATGTCAAAACATGGAAAGCAAGTCAGATCATCCCTTTAAAAAACCCTCAATTTTTATTCTGTATGACTGCCGCATTAGCTATCTCTCGTCTTCTCCCACAGAACGTGTTCTTTGGAAGTAGTAGAAGTAGGATGGCATTTGGCATCAGTCCTATGGGCATACAAACATCACACCCACCCATTTTTATTTTCAGGTGTTTCCATTTTATTATCTGAACCTCAATGTCCTTAAATGTCATCTGGAGAGGAATGCTCTGAGAATAAATGCAGTTATGGTTCGTGTGCCCAGCAGAGTAGGCACTCAATAATGACTGATTCCCTTTCTCCTTCTAGCATCCCCCTAAGTGGGAAATAATCAACATCTTAGGGCCAATATGTTCTCGTCTCTAACTGGCACCTGCCACCACGGATGGATGGTTAGGATCTGAAAGGTGCTACCTCATTTAAATAAGACACAGAATGGTAATTACCAAGGGACAAGTTACAGACATTATTGATTATGGTTGCAGCCAAACCAGTGATCTGAAAGTGACAGACTTTTTTCTTTAAAAACAAAAAATCCCAGAAAAATCTCTGAGCTATTCAGTCTCCCAGAAAACATGTGCCTGAAAACCCGTCTGCAGAAAGGAAAAAGAATTCCCCAAAATGACTAAATTTTCTTTCCTCTATCAGCTTTTCAAATGGAAGAGAGAGAACACAAACACGAAGGTGGATTTTTAGCACATTGCAATATTAAAAAACAAAACAAAACATTTTCTGGTGCAAGGTCTAACACTTTTCAAACCAGTATACTGGAGCTGAACTCAAAGTCAACTATCACGGTACCTGTGATAAACGAAGTTACTTTGAAGTTACCAAGAAGTTCCTTGGTAGAATTTCATTATGTGTGTTAGGAATCTCTCATTATTTGGAAAAATATGAAATCATTTCCCCTAAAATCAAAATAAACATGAATATCCAAACCCAGTAGATACCACTGATGTTCTCAACATTCATTTGTGGAAATTTACACATTCAACCACTGAAATAAGACTTCCTTTTCCCTTTCCTCTTCATTTCCTAATTTCCTATTTGTTATCTGTTGAGAGTTGAAAGAGAGAAGCCGTACCATTGGAAGGTTACCTCCAATACTTTGACAATAACAGAGGAACCATAACGTTTTCTGAAGAAACACCACCAATTTTCCTACCAATAACTTTATACCATATTCACATATGTAAATTATTATGTGATCACCGTCTTAATAATTACATATGTAGATCTGTGTGTACGTGTGTGCGTGCGCCTGTATACACACACGCACACACACAGAGTCCATAAATCCACAAGGCATTCTAAGCGAAGCTATCAGAGAAAAGGACTTCAGCTGCCCAGAGAGTGGAGCAGCCTTTAAATGTATCTTGTCATTTGGACACAGCTCCTGCTTTTCAGCGAGCACTGCTGTCGGAGCCTCTTCATTTAGCAGTTTTCAATTTTTTTTTTTTTTTTTTTTTTTAGATATTTGTTCCCTGGTCAGCTTAGTCCCCCTGGCACTTTCATCTGAAAGGGAAGGGGGTAGTAAAACGGGAATGCGCGCCAGGACTCGGGAAGCAGGAGTCCCTTCCACACCCCTGGGACTGATGCCCTCTCCTCCTCGCTGGCCCGCTGCTCCTCAGCTTCCAGTCGCAGAGAGCCGGCGCCCGGCGGAGCAAGGCCACTGAGTGGATGAAGTAAAAATTCATCCGAGGGTTCACCCTCCCCGGCCCCGACCCCCATCCATCACTTCCCAAAGCCCCCATCCCTCCCATCCTCCTCCTCCCAATCACCCTAACCCTGCAGCCACAGCAGGGGGGTTGCGGGGGCGGCATGTGGGGGAGAGATGCGGGCTTCCTTCGCACCCAGCCCTGACGCGCCCTAGAAGAATGTCCTCTGGGGAAGGGGCTGCCCACAACTTGGAGGAACTTAGAAGGCAAAGCCGCCGCGCCCCGACCCTCAGCGGGGCCTCCACCCTGAACGTGAGGGGGGACCGGAGGGAGTCGACGCGAGGGCGGGCACCCCCGGGCTTACCACGAGCACGGGAACCCCGGCGGCCAGCGAGTAGAGGAGAACGGGGGGCACGGCGCTGCTGTCCTCCGGGCCCGGGTAGGGCTTGCGGTAGGCGCTGTCGTGGCAGAAGAAGCCCTGCACGTTCACGGTGAACGTGTCGGTGTACTCGAAGTAGTACGCCAGCATCACCGTCCCTGCCATGATCACCATCTGGAAATAGAGCATGCTGCTGGTGAGCGCCGCGGGCAGCAGGGGCATGCACGCCTCCCGGGCCGGGCCGAGCCAAGCGGGCGGCGGACGCGGCGGGCCCCCTCCCGGGTCCGCCGAGGCAGCCACCGGGGGCGCGGCGGCGGCGGGGGCGGCGGGACGACGAGGCGCGGGAGGAGGGATGAAGTCGCTGGAGGAAGAGGCGGAGGCAGGTCCGGGTTTCGAGGCGCCAGCAGGCTGCAGAGGAGGCGGCTACCCCCAGACGAGCCCCCGCTCCCCTCCCCGCCCCCCGCCCGCCGCAAGCGCCGCCCGCCCGGGCGCGGGGTCGCGCGGGAGGGCGGGGAGTCCCGGGCGACCGCCAGCGGCCGCAGCGCCCAGCAAGAGACCGTTCGCGTTGCAGCAGCGCCTGGTGAAGTCCCCCGGGCCCGCCCGGAGGAGGCGGCGTCGGCGGACCAGGCGGCAGAAGCCGGGACAGCGGCACCTGTGCCCCTCGGAGGGCGGACGCAGTGGAGCTCGAGAAGCTCCTCGCGGGGGTAAAAACCGAAAAAGGGGAGGGGGAGGGGAGGCAGCAGAGAAGGAGCTTCTAGAAACTCCTTTCTGAGGCAGCAACTGGGCTGTTTAAGAAACCCGCACAACGCCTGGGAAAATGATGCGTGGCCGCGTCTTCGGAGCGCAAACCCCACTGAAGCTCAAAGTGCCGGATGCCGCGCTGCGAGTTTTACCCGGCGCTCCCTTGGATTCCTTAACCCCGCGCAGGACACACGCCGAGCGGTGGTTTCTAGGCACTGTTAGAAAAATAATCTCAGAGCATTTTAGATTAGAGTTTCTCTGCCTCCCCTCTAGCTTCCTAGGGCTTTGCATGTAGAAACACAGTCATAGTTCAGTAGCTCCAGAAGCATCATCTTTTGTACCATGGCCCCTTCCCCCTTCATGTATTCTCCACTTGCTCATCTTCAGTCAGTCTCCCTTAAGCTGCTTGTGAGAGGAGGCATTGCAGGTTCCTGGCACCCAGCGGTGCCTGCCACAAGGGAAGGGAAAAGGGCTATTTGCCTCATCTCGCTATTCCCCGAGTTCTGAGGAATTGCCGGGATTCCCCCAGGTCAGGTGAAAGGAGAGGGAGACCAACGTAGGCTCACACCACATGCGGACGAAACACACCCCTACATGGGCATACACGCGTGTGCATAGCTCTGTAAGTAGCTGCATATATGTAAAGAACCCATTTCGTGATGCCATGTGGGTCCCTGCGTGCAAGCTTAGGCAGCAAACTTGGGGGTGGAGGTGGGGGAGGACCTTAGCAGAGCTTGACACTGCTCACATCCTCCACTCTAGAGAGCAGGTAAGGAAGCGTTATGTTACAGACAAGGGGATGAAAATATTGGTAGAGCCCTTCCTGTCTCATTAAAATGTAGATTACTTTAGCAGGTTTCTGGAATATTCATTCATTTTAGTGGGTTGTACTTGATTTTTAGAGGTGGGTCTTTATCGTCAGGAAAAAGCAACATTGGTAGGCTAATAAGGCCGTTTAAATTTGGCAACTGATTGGTATTTGGCGGAAGCAATGGCAGTGTGAATTGCCTTTAATGAGGGTTACCTTATCCACCACATGTTATTAAACATCATTTAATAACTACTTGCTAGATAAAAGACACTGAACAACATGTATAATAAGCAATTTGGGGCAGTGGGAGGAAACGGTTCCTTAATGGACAAGAGTGGCTTACCATATTATGAAAATGTAACTACTACAAAGGCACATGATTTAAAGCCCCATTCAGAGAATCATTTTAAGACTCTAAGAGTGTTTAAACTGCTCTTCTGGCTGTACATAGGAATCTTCCAAACCTTTCTAATTAATAGAATTTTTGGAAAAATGGTCTTAATTTTTAAGGGTAGATTTTAAGGGTAATTTTGAATTAAGGAGAGTGATGTAGGTAATCGAAACAAGCCAATGAAAACATATATTACTTTTGAATTTAAATTTGAATTTAAAATTTCAAATTGAATTTGAAATTAAAATGCATGTACTGCATTGTTAACATGTATTGAGTGCCTAGTACTGTGAGTGTGACAAAGCAGGGTCCTTGTCTGTCCTGTTCACTGTTCTGTCCCCAGCATGAGCAGCGTATGCCACATTGTAGGTATTCAGTAAATATCTGTCGAATAAATTAATGAATCTCTTCCTCTAAGAATAATGTTGAAGTATGTTCACATATAAGATGTATGTCAGGGACTAGGGAATCATAATCTTTATATCCTAAGGTAAACATAGACTGCTTACTTAACATGACATACCAACATTGAAGGTAGAAGGTTAATGTAAGAGCAGCAGTTCTCATATTACTTCAGTTCAAATCCCAGCTCTGCCACTTACCAGCTCTGGAAAACTAGCCGAGATGCTTGACTTTTTTCTGCTTCAGTTTCATCACCAGTAAAATCAGGATAATATTAGTACCTACTTTACAAGGTTGATAGGAGGATTAATGATGCCTAATTATGTCTGGCACATAGTGAACACCTATATCATGTTTAAATGTTACAAAATTTGACTTGACATAAACATATCTAGACTACCTTAACTCAGGTCACTCCAACATCTATCACCAGTCACCTCCTTCTAATTTTTGACTTAAAAAATGATTCTGGGTGTATCCATATTTCTATAGGTGCATACATTTTCCTATAGGTTTATGCACATTCTGTCTTCTTTTTCAGATGCCATCCATCTCGGGAATAGGATAGTATTTTCTACAACATCCCCATCATTTGTCCACATTAGACATGGACAGTCAAATAGTGTTATTGACCGATTCATGGTTGATTAATGATCCAATGCTGAAATTCGAAGTTAATACTGAATCTTAACTCACATTATAAGGATACCAACATTAAGTTCAACTTCCATGAATATTTGAACAGATTGGTTATTCATAGAAATGATGTGAAATGGATGAAAAAGCATGAGCTATGTGCCCTTGGGCTGGTTACTTTAGTTTCCTGAGTCTGAGCTTTTTGGGGGGACAAAATGAACTAATTTTTCTTACCTCCGTGCTTTTTTTAAAAAATTTTATTTTATCATGTTATGTTAGTCACCATACAATACATCATTAGTTTTTGATGTGGTGATCCATGATTCATTGTTTTCGTATAACACCCAGTGCTCCATGCAGTATGTGCCCTCCTTAACCCCGATCCATCACCGGGCTAACCAATCCCCCCTCCCCCATCCCCTCTAAAACCCTTAGTTTGTTTCTCAGAGTCCATAGTCTCTCATGGTTCATCTCTCCCTCCAATTTCCCGTCTCCGGGCTTATTTTGACAATTAAATGAGACCATGTAAAGTACCTAGCCCAAAGAAGGTACTGGTTTAGTATGTTTTTTCACTTTATTTTCTTATAAATTATTTAAGCTAATTCTTTTCCAAAATACATCTTTTCAACTTCAAAGAGCCCTTGGGAATCCTACCTCAATTTTTAATTTACCTTTCCACTGTTTCTAGATTAACAACAGCACTGCTCATAGTTAATCCTTTGGAATCCTTGCCTAAATTCTTAATTCTTAGGCACCTCATTTTGCTTTAAAATATATTATAACAGTCAATCTTTCTGAAAACATTGTCCTGTCCTGCAAATTCTTCCTATTCAGCTCCAACCAAGGTGGATAATCTAGGTAAAAAAATATGGCATTTATAACTTCTATTTTCCAACTTCCAGTGATTCATATTATACTTATTTGCCCATGTCCTAACAACCACTCTGATCTCACTCTCTTTCTTCACCCATAAAACATGAACCATGATAAATACTGAGACAAATCTTGGGGGGAGTCATTTATCCATTGCAATATCTCTCATCTTCCCATTTCAATACTAATGTTTTGGTAAGAACTAATAAGGTGCTAGACTAGCATGTGAAGTTGTTGTCTTTGTCTATATGGTTTATAAATTTTTCATCCACAAACAGAAGATAAATGTACAAAAATTTGGGGTGGATGTTTATGCTGATAACAGTGCAAAGACCAACTGAATGAATCATCCTTGGGAAGCCAAGCATTGACTGTGGATAGTTAGGTAAATGAATGTGTCCTTCTTTAACTTAGAAAATCTAAGGTGCTTGCTGGAAGGGAACTGGGGATGTACCTAGCTCCTCAAGATTATTACCAGTTGGGTTCTGTACAATAAATCTGTGACTAGCAAGAGAGGCAGACTGAGATTTTTCCATTAACATCCAAGGATTTGGCCCTCATTAGTTAATAGAATGGTTTTGGCAAAGATGGCTGAACATTTCCAAGGACTAATGAAGATACAGAATGCTAAGCATTAGGTTTCCATGTGTTTCAAGTAACTCAGAGGTAAGCCAGGGCATTTTCCTGAACTTTTCTCATTCCATGGTGCCAAAACAGAAAAAATAACATTACTTTCAGTGCATAGCTGAGATGGTGAGGTATGAAGGATTCAGAAGACTTTATACAAGACAAACTAAGGAAACATCTCCAAAAGAATAGAGTCCTCCCTGACAACAGCAATGACAAAATCAATGACAAAGACAACAACGAAAATGCTCATAATGCTAAACCTGAGCTGCAGATGTTTGAGGAGATTCATGAGTGTGAAAAGTTAGATGACTTTGTACTAATGAGGAACTTTAAATATTAACATATAGGTTGGTGGAAGATCTAATGGGAATTGATTTGGAAAGAGATTTTTTTTAATAGGCCAGGTAATTGCTTTCAGAATAAGTAAAGGCATCTGGTAATTCATTCTAATAATTATTGAACTACAAAAGGCAATATCTTGACAGGTCTTTATTGAACTGGATCTTGAGAAGGAGCAAATACACTAGTTTACTAACTCCCAAACAATCTGATATAGAGAACATCCCGGATACTTAAAGAATAAGTTGTAGGACTGGTTAACACAAGAAAAGTGCTTAAATGTGTTCATATAAATATAAAGATACAGCATCCTCAAAGGCAAACTAAAGAGAGCTAGACACTTTTGGAATTATACCTTGACCTCTTATTATGGACATCATAGTGCACTGCATCTTCACATAAAAATCTTCTGTGCTTGATGTAGGAGGTAGCTGTGTTCTCAAGAAAACAGGAGGAAAATCAGCCACTGTAGTAATGTGTATGTCTATCTTTGAGGTTCCAGCTGTAATGGGATGTTTATCTCAGAGGCCAGAAACTTCTGATCTGGACAAGTAGTATTTATCTTCAGTTAGAACCTCTGAGATATCTTAAAAATGCCTTACTCTGATTGCATTACAGCTGATTGTATTCTTCTACATTTCCAGTATTATTTTAAGTTTTCACTTTCAAAACAGTTATCACAAACCAAGCACACATTTTACTAGAGCACATATTAAATCTAGTTATATTTCACTGAAGGTATAGGCATGAAATTGATAGACTAAGTAAAAGAGTTAAAATTTATAAGACATTAAGGCTGGGAAAGAATAGAAAAATTTAATATGTTATCAATTGAACACTCCTATATTAAAATAAAATTTTAAATTATTGAGTTAGCAAAAGTTAATTGAAACATGCTGATCATACTGTGTGGCCATGGCAATCAGCCTCTCTAAATCTTAGTTTGCTCATCTGTAAAATTGAGTTAGTGAATCTTTACAAAGACATTGAAAGGCTTATATTTATTAAATGCTTTGGAAATATCAAAACATTGGGCAACTCTGCATTAGGAAATATATTGTAATTAGGAGGAGAAAATGCCTAATCTAAGTGGATGCTGAATTTTCTTGCCAGCACTGAGTTCCAACTCAAAA